CGTGTTACTGATTAAATCAGAGAATGGTATTGGAAAAAAAACAATCTTACTTGTCACTTCAAGTCATCCAAGGCACATAAGTGGCCATCTCTAGTTGCTTGAGTGGGACTTTGTATCAGGGAACCTTGAGTAACATCAGTCTGTTGGAGACAACTGCCCTGTTTGAATTCTGCCAAAAGCTTGCTTGACCACATGTGCCAAGATTGCCTGTGATGGCAGAGCCAGACAGGCATGTATGCCGATGGATGCAGGGTTCTGACCTGCTTTTTCCTTTATGTTTATGTTTAGATTAGATTTCTTTAAAAAAAAAAACAAAAACAAAAAAAACAGGACTATGCCTTATTTACACTGTTGAGTAGATATCTGTTCTCTACCTTACTTTGTTGCTAATTGTTTCCTGAGCTGTGGCCGAGAAACTTCCTTTGATCTGCATTCCATCTGTTCCTGAATACCTGCTTAGAGCACCCCATCCCTCTAAAAACATTGAGAGTTAGAGACTCAGTGCTCTTTGTTCTACAAAACAGGAAGTCTCCTGGTCTCCCAATTACCTTAAATATTAAGTCATCTGTATGTGATCTGTATGTGATATTTTACACATCATTGTCCCTCTCATTTTACACTACTCAGCAATGCAGGACACCGTATCAGTCTTTAAGAGCAACCATGATTGGCGCTGAAGTTCCATTTTCCCTTTAGAGTACAGGACATCTTCCTTTATCAGTTGTTTCCCTCTTTGCAGATGGATCCTTACAGAAGCTTCCTAGCTTCTCATTGCATTGTTGAAGACAAAAGATCAAAAAAGGGACATGGCCATGGATTGTCCCTAGCTATTCAGGCACTCCGTCATAGGCATAGGATTGGGTAGTTGATAGGAGGCTCCACTTCTTGTATGTCCCATAGGTTTGGGAATTTTTGTTACCTTTGCTTCGTAAGTTGGGCTAAATAGGAGAATATGGAGGCGGGGTGAGGCTCTGTAGAGGAGATATTGCCCATTATTTTATGTTTGGAATGCAGGATTTGGACATAAGCAGAGATCATCTAGGATATATCAGCAGTTCCTCCTTCGTTCTTTGTTTGCCTAATTGCTCATCCTGATAGAGAGTCATGAAGGCCTGAACATAAGATATTTCACACCATTTCGCTTGATTCCTATAAAATAGGTACAGCTACAGGATGGTGTTACAATTTAAACTTCCTTCCTTTAGCCAAGTATTCCCATCACCCAATTTGTATTGACGCCAGATTATGTTACAATAAAATGGCACTCTCTGTCGGGCATGGTGGCACACGCCTTTATAATACCCCCTCCATTTTGTTTAAGTTTAACTGGTCAATCATCTGGTCATAGGACCACTCCTAGGAAGACAAATTTTGCTAAATAATCTGGTGCATTAATGAGATAGGGAGTTTTTCCTGCCTGGAATCCTGCCTCCTAACGCAGAACTTCCTAGCTACAGCCATATATTCCATGAGTTTGTCTGCTTCCCTTGAAGGGAAGCGTAATTTCTCTTTATCTTCATGGCTCTCCTTTCTAAACATGCTTTCTTTAAGGCTTTGGACAGCCCCTAGCATCTTGTATTTCTTTAATTTCTCTAAAGCTTCCTTCTCCCAGCTACATGGCTGCGAGTTAGCCACATGTCTGACCTCCCACAAAGATTCTAAACCTGCATGACTTCATGGCTTTATTTTTTTCTTCCCACCATTCACCTCCTCAAGGCAGCTGCCAAGATTACCAGCATGCCTGCCCTGCATGCCTGCCCTGAGGATTTCTTTTTCTTTAAAATTCTAATAAAATTGTAAAAGCTTAATTCAGCTCAGCTCATTTGGAACTTTTTGAGTCTGGGTAGTCTTTTCCAGTGGTCCTGAACTCCATAACACTTCTAGTCCCAGAAGTCGAGGGGCAGAGGCAGGTGACTCTCTGTGAGTTCCAGGCCAGATGGGGCTATAGGGAAACCCTGTCTCAAAAAAGACCAAAAACAAATTAACAAAATAAAATCTTTCTCTCTCTCTCTCTCTCTCTCTCTCTCTCTCTCTCTCTCTTTCCCCCTTCCTCCTCCTCCTCATCCTCCTTCTTCTCAGGATCAAACTTATTCCAGCTCTTGAGGCTGCATTCTAAGAAGGAATCCATGAAAATTGAAGGCAAGTTTTTAATGATGATCCCAAGGAAAGAGAAGCACAAGGGCTTTTGGAGTTAGAGTGCAGGCATCCCTGTCATCCATTCTTGGAATTCTCAATATTTGCGGCCAGGAATCTGTGGTGACAAAGTATAGCCTTAGAAGGGTTAGAAACACTGATTTGAGACCCCAGCCTTTTAAGTTTACTTCTTAACTGGCCAGGTTTTGAATCTGGTACTTGCATAGTCTATCTCAGGACTAAGTCCCACAATTTTTAGATGAAATTCCCTGCTATGAGCCTCTCTAAATTTATTTATTTTACCTCAGTAGAAGATTGTGCTCTTAAAAAAAAGCTCTAAAAAAAAAATTAAAAAGAAGGATGCCCAAGCTATCAAGTCGCTAGGTTGAGAAGAGACTTACCTGTATGAATTGTTCTGCCTTTTGTTTAGATTACCATCCAGGATAAGAGTACACATGTATGATGGTTTTCCTTTGGCTCTTGTGCTCAAGGGACTGTCTTGTTACCCAGGGGATTAGACATGTCCTCTGGAGGGATACTGTTGCCTACAGTAAATTAACAGAGAGAATTTGAAGGCCATTGTAGTATGATAAAGCAGAAGTATACAAAGCACAGCAGTGGGAAGGTGAAGAGCAAAGTCAGTCAGGAGTCCTGAGGGGAGAGGCCCTGTTGCCCCACCTCCTTATATCCCTTGTTTCCCAGCAATGAGTGCTCAGGCATTCAGCCTCTGGACATCATTCAGGTTGGCTTCCAACAGGCTGCTCTGCTGGTTACATCTTACTTTTTGATCTCTGGGCCCACTAACATGAGTCTGCTATCCTTGTCAGAGTTTAAATCTGTAGTATGAATGTGAGACTACAAGTGCCAGGTCAGACCAGTATGTGAAACTGGAGAACTTTGGGACCTGCAGGCGAAAGAGACAGCATCTGCTCCCGTCTCCTTCCTGGGAGGGGGGGAGGGACTCTGGGTCAAATATGTGCTGGGTCTCTCCTCCACTTTGCTTTCTCTTAGGCTACAAGGCTTTCTCACCCAGACTCCTCACTCATGTTTCCAACTCATCCTTTCCAGTGTGGGAAATGAATGCTGATAAAAAGCTGGAAATAGAACAAATTGGAAATACCTTGGAGGTACCCTTTCTGGTCCTGTTAATCACCAAAACTGTGGTTTGGGTGGTCGAAGAGGTAGAACACTTTATATCAGAATAAAAACGACTGCTGGCAACAGCACCCGGGAAAAACAGACAATCTTACCACAAGGAAACCTTTTGAAATTTAAATTTTAAAAATCACTGGTTTTAGTCTGTTTATTATGGGAAAAGATCATAGAAAATTTGGTGATTGGTATAACTTAATCCCTTCACTAACTGTTCTATTTGATACATGTCCAGTCTTACTCTGTGGAAGCTTAGAGAGCCAGAGAGAACTTAATTGTATGGACAAATGTATGTATCCCAAATTCTCCCCCTACAGGTCATTTAGGGAGCCTTTAAAATTAACTCTAAAAATAACCTGATGATACCTGATTACCTAAAGGACATAATATTGATAGGATCCACTTATAATTTGCTTATGTTATTGTGGTACCACAAAAAAAAAAAAAAAAACACCACCTTCATCTTTGAAAAAAATCCAGTCCAGAATTCAAAAAGAGAAACTACTGGGGGCTGGAGAGATAACTCAGTGGTTAAGAGCACTGCCTATTCTCGCATAAGACCAGATCTGAATCTCAGCACCCACATGGTGGCTAACAACTATCCATAACTCTAGTTCCAGGGGATCCCATACCGTCTTCTGTTCTCTTCAAGAATGGCATGACAGGAGTGCACTTACATACGTGCAAGCATAGCACTCATACGCACGAAATAAAAATAAACTTTAAAAAACTGAAATTATTAAACTAATCTAGTCTTTAAATCCCGCATTTCCTGATGAGGACCCCCAGTTGTCTTCATCTCAAATTTAGAGACAAAGGTGATTTCTACATACTAAAAACTGTTGGGAGCCTGAGGCTCAGCCATTTCTCAGGGCTGCTGGCGAATCTGAGTTGGTGACTTTCCATTCTGCCCACCATCCTCCCGCAGGTACAGGCCAGAGCCTGCAACCTTCCCACGGCCTTGGCTCACAGCCAGGGCTCACAACCTTGGCCCACAACCTTGGCTTTCAACTGGGGCTCGCAACCTTGGTCCACCGTCTTGTTCTCTTTTCCAGTAAATAGCCTTGTTCTCCGTTAATCAGTAGATTCCTCCCTTAGAGTACATCAGGGCCCCTGTGTTCTGATTGATATGATTACTCACTCTTCACTTCTTTGTCCTCATTCTCTATTTAAACTCATACTTGTGCTTCAATAAACGAGACTTGATCAGAATCCTGTCTTGTCTCCATTTCTCTTGTCCTTGCCTCATTTTCATCCCCACCCCCCAATCCAGGTACTTCGTGGAAGTTCTGCAGGTTGGAACCGAGTCACATTGCGGGGTGGCCTCCCGCAAAAAACAACATAAAGAAATAATTTTATATAACTCAGAAAATTTGAACTTGGACATTTCAAAGCCCAAATTTAAAACTCAACAGAGTGTACACTAAAAATACTTTGCTGGTTAAAAGGGTTAGGGGTTCACTATACAATTTCACCTTTCATACTTTCCCTGGGGTGAGCCGACTTCATGTTATATGTAGAAACCTCCTTTAAGCAACAAGGAAATGTGTGTTTACAGGACTTGTGACAGAATCTGGATTAATAATTATCTGACTGTACAGAACACCCAGAATCCAGCTATTTAAGCTGCCAGTGCCCTAAAAACCCTCATTCTTTCCAAAGGGAAAATTGTCACCAGAATCTCCTGTTCATCTATATTCTCACCTGTGGCAGAACAGAGCAAAGGCACCATGAGCACTGCAGGCAAGGTAGGTGTGCTCTCCCCCTTCTGTCCTGTCACAGCTCTGTCAGTTCCTAGGCTCCTGGAGGCAAGAGGCTGCTCTTTTGGGGGTCTTCCCTCATCCTTTCCCTGTCTTTTTATTCCCTTCATCAACTTGTCTGTTCTGATTCTTCGTTCCTTCAGTAAGTAAAATCCAAGCTCTGTACCAGACTCTCCAAATTCAGAGCTAGAACCCCTTCTTCAAGGATCTCGTGAGAGAACAGATACTTTAAAAGGATGCAAGGAACATAAAAGAGCACTAAAAGATGGAAGCCTCAAGGAACAGCCTCAAATCTAGACTGGCTTCCCAGAGAGGGTGGCATCAATGGGGAAACTTACCTGAGAAATAAAGATTCACCAGGTAAAAGAGAAAAGCATCTGTAAGCAAGTGAAACCACATGAGGAAAATATAGAAGCAGGGAGAGCATCCCATTTCATCTTCAGCAGAAAGATAAAGTCTGAAGCAGAAAGTGACAGGAAATGGGGTTGCAGAGGTGGACAAGGAGAGAATTGTGATATCAATGAATCTTGTTGAGCAACTAGTAAAAAAAAAATCATGTCTAGATACATTAGAAATTGCCACCAATAGATGGTCATTGTTCTCCATAACCCACCACTTCACCCCCAAACTGACTCTCACTTGGGATCACAAAATCCCCACAATGTAATGCCATAGCAGCCCTGGAGTGGCCACTGGGAAATTTTATTCATAATAAAACCAAAAGCATGACACCTAGCCAGGAGTGGTGTCATGTGCCCTAATGCCAGCACTGTTGAGGTTCAAGGAAACCTAGGCTGCATAACAACTCCATCTCAGAGAAAGGAACGAAGGGAAAGAAAGAATAAAGAATGCTATCTAGCCAGGCATGGTGGTGCATGCCTTTAATCCCAACACTTGGGAGGCAGAGGCAGGTGGATCTTTGTGAGTTCAAGGTCAGCCTGGTCTAAATAGTGAGTTCCAGGACAGCTGGGGCTACAGGGAGACCCTGTCTCAAAAAGACCAAAAAAAAAAAAAAAAAAAAAAAGGAATGCTATCTATCCTTTTAGATGTATTACATTTTATAAATATAATTAGTATTTGTTAAAGTAATTTGAATATAGAGGCTGAGAATATGAGAATATAAAAAATTATTTTGGGATAAGACAGACTACCTTCAGCAAATATTTATGCTTTTCTGTTCTTTATTGTTCCATGAACTGGGCATTTCCTATAAATAATAAAGGAATTTTCAACTCCCAAGTCTAATTAAACTCTACCTTTCTCTCATATACTATACCCCAGGTGATCAGATGCAAACCATGGTATCATGGAATCCTAGTTCCCCAGTTTCTATTGAGGAGGTAGAAGTGGCCCCACCAAAGGCAAAGGAAGTTCGCCTAAAGGTAAAACAAAAATCTACATTTTCACAACAAAACCAAAGCTATTTACTGTAAGTTATATATTCTCAGAATGTTCAATTCTAAAAGAAAACTACATATTCTATCTAGAAAAGGTGCTGGGGGATGGGAGAAGTCAGCACCTGTTCACACAGCTAAGTAGAATAGGAAAGCCCATTCGCCGAGTTTTCTCAACTTTACTCACATACTTGGAATCACTGGGAAGCTTAGGAAAATGCTGATAACTGTGTCTCATCCCCAGAGATTTTGAAATTATTATTTAATTGGTTTGGGGTGGCACATCCCCCTAGATGATGCTACCTAGTTCCTAGCAGGCTAGAACACAATTTGCCTAACTTATAGTTCTGCATTAAATTATTTTCATTACAATGGTGAAGAATAAGTTCTATTTATTGATAGATTACAAAGAGATAGTTATTTTTAAGTTACCTTATCTACACAATCCATTCCTCTTCTCAACAAATGCTCTCTGGTTTCTACCCTCCATTGAGTAAGCAATGGGTCATTTGGCAACCCCCATCCTCTACCTTCCAACAGGGTCATAATTGATACAACTAGGTTTGGATTCAAAGACATCCCACCATTGTCTGAAAAACTACAAATGTGACTCTATTACTGATGCATTTGAACCAAAATATAGAGCTGATAGCAAGGTAGGTGATCGCAAGCACTGGAGAGGTTGAGTGGATATGGGGCTGGTAGCCATTTTAAACGTGATTATGATAAATGAATGTAGAAAATCTGTCTGTAGAGTACAACAGGATGATGCAGCTATGGTCGCTGAATCAGAGCAGAAAGAAGAACAGCAAGTTGGATGTAGATGCCATGCTTGACTGGTGCTGAGAAACTGAGATCAGACCAGGAGTCACCCAGCTTTGCCACTCAAGAGTGTTTTCATTGCCCTCCTGAGAGCCTGTATTGGAAGCTTAGTCTTTGAATTTCACACAGAATTTATATATGATAAGTGCTCAAGCAGTGCAAACACATAGGAATTTTCCCATCATTATAGCAATAAAACAGCACAGTGCACCCAAGACCTTGGCAATTAGCCCAGTAGCAAACCTTTTGATGCTAGCACAAACAGGAGGAGGGCCATAAGTCCCCCCTTTATGTTTAGATAGATATAATTTGAGAGTGTGAGTTTTGTGTTCTACAATAGTTGGCCTTGATGATTGTATGGGATCCCAGTGCTGTTGGAAATATGCCAGTCAAAAAGTGGGCATAGCGAGCTTGGCAGAAGTAGGAGCAATTATCTGTTTTAACACTATGAGAAAGGCCTAGGATAGCTAAAGTGGTTAGCATATTATAAAAACAGAAGTGCAAATTAGATGCTAAAAGCTTTTGCAATGTGATGGTAATTAAGAACTCTGGAGCAGAGGAAGCCTAGAGATAGAAATGGGGAAGTGAACAGGAATCTTCCCTTGCCCCCTGTGTTATCCAGGACAGAAGTCTTGTTTTCCAAAGCTATCACATTCCAGTATAAAAATCTTTGTTGCCTAAGGCTTTTGCATTCTTATAACCTTTGCATTTCCGTTACCTTTGCTGCCCTATGTTATCTTACTTACCATGTATATACTATGTACCTTTTCCTTGCATTCTTCACATGAGTATAAAAACCCTCCAAAACTTGGACAAAGGGCCTGACTCCTTTGATTTGTGGTGTCAGTCCCGCTAGCATCAAATTAAACTTCCTCTCCTCACCTGACTTCAGCTGTTGGTCTCTGATTTTTCCATAACAGCATATGAGTAATTACATGGGTAGCCATTTCCTCTGCTTGAGCAGTGGCCCAAGTAAACCCAGAGAACGTATTGACAGCAACACGAACATATGAGAGACATCCAAAAGTGAGAACATTAGTTACACCCAGATTTAAATAGGTTGAAGACCTCATGAGTTTGTTCCTCCTGAAAAGGAAGGGGTTTGAAATGCCACATGGGAGCAGCATGAGGTGACAATGTCTTGTACCTGTGATCATGTTAAAGAAAATTTATGGTACAGGAAGGATGTCAGAGCATGTGTTAAACCATGTACATGTTGAGTCTCTCCTGTAGTTACAAGGGACATCAGCTGGTAAGCCTGTTCATTTCCTTGTGATAGTGGCCCCAGGACATATAGTAGGTGTCTCTGTTTTCTCACCAAAGTTTGTGCCTGTAAGAAAAGTTCAAAGATAGAGCTACTTTTATTTAAGAAAATGGTGATAGTTAATAATGGCAGAGATGAAGCAACATATTGTGAATCTGTCATAAGGTTAAAACAGTTATATCAGTCAGTAAAAGACAGTGAACAACTGATTCTGTTGCATAGTCATATAGGATGTGTGTAAAGCTTTGGAGTACTGCAAAATAGTTTTGGAATTATCCAACTTGTACAGTGTAAGAATGAAAATAATTTGGAGATAATAGAAAGTTAAAACATTTAGAAAATTAGAAAGACTAATTTATTCAAATTTTAAAATATGTAATTTTTAGTTTGTTTTTTTTATTTTAGAAATATTTATATGTTACTAGGAAAATATGGGCAAGGATTGCATGTTATTTTGTGATTTAAAAAATAGGATTTTTTTTTATTTTTGGCTTTTGAATATTGTAATTCATTTTTGGAAAACAATCATGTAATTATATCTTTATTTTAGGAAAAATAATGAATATAAATACCAAAGAAGCAAGATGTTTTTAGAAATTAAAGCAAAAGTCACAAGTGTTTAAATTAAAAATGTACATATAGTAAACATTAACTATAACTTTATTGGAAGACTGATATGTAATAATAACTGGAATTATTTAAACAGGTACTAAAATATGAGATCAAAATCTTTAGGCTTAAATCCTTAAAAATTTACTGTGAATATGAAAATTTTTAGTTTACATAAATCTGTATATTTTAGATGAAAAATTACAAGGCAGTGGCATTTCCTTGGCCTCTTAACAATATTTGGGTTTTTATAAAGAATTAGTAGCACCCAACCTAAAGTATTAATTTTATGTTTTTAAAGGATTTTTTTTTATTTTTTACTTTATTGATATGCAATTGATTGAACATATTTACTTATTTACTTAAAAAAATTTATTGGGAATTTTATGCATGCATGTAAGGTGTTTTGATCAAATCCATGCCTACTACCTCCCCCCAACTCCTCCCATATCTCCCCATCACATTTTTTTGATAACTTCATGTACTCTTTCTTCTTTTTTTTTAAAAATGGGGCTTTTTGCTACTCTAACATTACCCCTCTGAAGAGGTAACCCTAAAATCTTTTAAGGATTAGATAAAAGCTCCCAAATACTTTGAACATTTTGGCCTTTGGAACAGAGTATGTTGCCAAGAGGCCCAAGGACATTTTGACTTTTAGCCAAGAAACTGACTACTTTAGAGTCGTTTTACACTAACTGCCTAGCCAATTCCTACCTCCTATTCTTATCACACCATCCTCTCGAAGAGGTTACTCAGCTTGAGGATAGGGAATCAGGACGCAGACCACTCTGGCTTCTTCTATGCTGAACAGGGATGCAGGGTGAGGCAATTGGGGTACCCCTTCAGTGGGTCTGTCTAAAAGACTCCCAAATTGCATAGCTCTTATCTGTAGGGGAAAAAGAAAGTCCTTAACTAGTGAATAGGAGATGTGAAGGAGAAGTAAAGGCAAGAGTAATTACCATTACAAGTTCTGGACAGGGAACCAGAAAGAAGTCAGAACAGGGCAATTTTCAAATGTTCATATGAGAGTCCATTCAAATTTCTTGATGAGAGCATCCAAAAGCTCTATTAGGTTCCTCCTCATTTATTTATTTATTTTTTTTGTCTGCCAAGGCTGGACTCAAGGGTGATGGAGTCAAGATTTGCTTTCAGGCATTTTGATAGCTGTGGAGTGGTTAGAATCAGTGTCAGTTCCCTCTCAAAGTCTTCTAGATTGGGGGAGAAAACAAATTGAGCCATCATTTTAGAATAATAGCAGGTTGTCTCCCTTAGCTACAGGTGGGCACTACAGTATTGCAGACCAAGATTTGAAGTCTTTCATCTGAGCAGCACTTTCTGATTAGGAACAAAATCATCAGTGAGAAATAATTGTCTAAATAACTTTATATGTGGACTTAATCCTAATGTCTGGGAAGTATAATTCCTTGATCTCTAAAAGAAATATACTGATCAGTTTACTCTTTGGTTAGACTTTCCTTTTGGGTGTTTGGCCCAAATAAATCAATTGATTTTTACACTTAAGGCCATTTGAGGATCTGTTCCTCAAGGGTCACATGGGCTTGGGAGTAACTCCTGGCTCCTTTCTTTTACCAGTTCCATCTATGTGAAGGTCCTGCTCAACCATGGCTGCCTTCACTTGGAAGGATGGAGGAATTGTTTCCTCTTAGTTGACCCTCCTCTTCGTATGCTGCACACTTGTTCAAGTACATCTGGTAGGGTTTCCATGACCTCCCTGAACAAGAGGACAGGTGACTCACCACAGTTACAGGACGTTTTGAGAGATGTTCCATAATCCCCTGGAACTTAGTCGACCTGGGAGGGCAAGGGGCAATAACTGTCCTTTAAGTCCCTCTGACCACACTAATATAGGCCTCAAACTATGGCTGTTAAACATCCAATAAGGTTAGTTCCACAAGTCTGACACTTTTAATTATCATGTGCTATGTAGATAAGGCTTAGGTAAAGAACCAAATATTCTCAAATAAACATTGACAAGATTTATATTTGCTACTTAAACTAGTTGACTAAACTATGACCATAGAAATTTTAAGATTATGTGTATATTATGTTTGTCTCCTCCCTTTATATCATAACAAACCTACTAGACCTTCACCAATTGCTTAGGCGTTCTCATTTTTTATGTCTATTTTGGAAAATATCTCCAGTCCCATATCCTTTTAACATCTTTTGCATTCTCACTTTCAGACCATTCATAGTGAAG